AGCACCTACTATGTGCAACGCATTTTGTGATGAGTAAAAAAAAGAAAGCTTTTCTATTTAAATCCTAAATATTATGCACTGCAACAAATTAAACTTTTTGAGGTTACAGATATTGAAAGGATCTACTCGATTGACTATGACTAGAACGCAGTTTCATTTGGGGAAATCTCAAATCCTCGAGTGACTGGAGTTTTCTCCCCCTTCACGAATTCATCACACTTCTCCAGTTCAGAACTGAAGGACTTTGGGGGAAAATGGGAGTTCCCTGTCGTTCAGAGAGAGTTAAATTGTGTGCATCAAGCATTCTTCAGCAAGATTAGGAAGTGGGAGGCGGGGACAGTAAATCCTGCGACCTGCAGGGGACTCGAAGGAAGTCACTTCATAGATGCACCCACTCTTCCCTGAATTTCTGTGCTTCTCTCCTGCTTCAAACTCTCCAAATCCTCCCCAGGGCACACAGAATCAAAGTTAAACTCCTCATCTGAGATGATGAGGCCTATGTGATCTGGCCCTGCCCATGGCTCTGACTTTTCCAGAACTCATGCTTATAACGGTCCTGAAGGTACCACTGCCTAGACCCATCCCTCCCTGATCTTCCCTGAGCCTCCTGCTCGTCATCAAGTCTCAGCTCCAAGGCCACCCTCTCTGTGAGGCCTTCTCTCATCACACGAACTGAACTGTTCATTCTAGAACCCTCACCTCATCCCCCTCTCTGTTTTGTTGTCTTCCAAGCACTTGTCGCCATCTGAAGTCGTGTGTTCATATCTTGTTTGCTTGTTTATCATTTCCTGCTCCTACAGAATGTATGAGCAAGGACTTTGCCTGTCCTGCTCACTGCTGTCTCCCCCGTGTCTAGGACAGTGCCTGCCACACAGCTGGTGGTCAAGAAACATTTATAGAATGAATGAATCCAGGAGTTATTTGTCCAGAAACTTTATTCATCCAGAGTGCGACCATAGTCACAGAAAGCAAAAGCATCATCTCCGAACACACAAAATCAGAAGAAAAAATACCCATAACAAAACTCCTGAGATTTCCTGCTAGGTGAGCTCCCGAACCCCGCACACAGAACCTTTTCACTTTGCATAATTAACAAACTTACCTTACAATGTAAACAAATTTGTTGTCTAGTTTCCTGGTCTGTGGTGGATTAAAGGAAGTCTGTTAGAGGCAGGCACACTAACAGCAGCAAGAAGGGGCAGGAGGCAGGGAGGAAAGAAAAGGATTACTAACAAGCAAAGAGGAGTCAGAAAGCAGAGTCTCCGGGGCCACGAAGTGTAGAAGCAAGCCGTCTTACAGACCTAACGCCGCCAGCAATGCCGATTACAGTGATTACTGAAGTCGTCAAGAAAAGGAAATTATGTTGTATATATGTCTAAGGCAACAGGGAAATTGTAAATATTAAGAGCTCCTTAGAAAATTTTTATCCAAAATGCTATTTTTTTAATGGTATTCTAAAGGGCAAGCAAAATTTGGTTTTCTAGGAAAATTAATTTCTGTGGAACATGTTAAAGGAAATTTCTTTCTTTCCTTCCTCCCTCCTTCCCTCTCTTCCTCCATTCCTTCCTCCCCTCTCCCTCCGCCTCTCCTTCCCTTCCTTCTCACAATGAGAACTGTGCAGCTGACCCTGTCTCTTAGCTTGGGCAGCTGGAAAGCACATAGCCGAATTTGACTTTCAAACACGCCAGCTCTGTAGGGCTTTACGGCCTGTCCTTTTGGGTTGTTCTCCTGATTTTGCCCTGATCTTTTCTTCACCTTGACCCTTATTTATATTTTCCTAGAACTGTTTCTTTATTACTATTTACCTTTACCAGTATTTTTATTTATTATTTGTGCTATAGTTGTAGGGCACTTGGCGGACGCTTTGACTGTTACTTCTTCATGCAATCACACTGAGAGCTTAGTGAAGGGCAACCAAGCTCCTTGTAGATAAAATGGGATTTTTCAAATGGTGAAAGATTGTGAGTGCTCGAATAATGCCCTGGAGCTTTTTAGCCCATAATCTGCCAGACCTGGTAATTGAAAGGTTAGTACAAAATCACACATCCTGAGAACTGAAAGATAAATTCCAAAAAGTTAAAATTGACTACATATAATCACAGGAAAGATGCATAACACAAAGGGCAGCCAAAAAAGAGTCACAGCTGCTGATTACTTTAGGACGAAGGAAAGCGAACTTCTTAAAACGCAGCCCTGCAACAGCACAACAGTGTGACCACATGGAGTCACCATTCTTTCTTTCGTCCACCTTTTGTTTTCATTGATATGGCTCAGATCAAGGAATCAGTGTAACCAGTTCAAGGAAAGAGGCTGATCTTCACTTTTTCGTTGTTCTTGTTCTGACTTCTCAAACACTGGGTCAAGCCCCAGTGCGTTGCTATAAAGCTGAAGAGATTACATGCAGAATCCGAGATGGTCATCTGCTTACTGTAGAACCCCACTGTCACCTAAGGACTTATATTTGTATGAATCTCATAGCATTTTACAGTCTCTAAAAATCTACAAGGAAAAAAAGGTCTTTGAAAGGGAAAAAGTATCGTATCCTAACCAGTAGCGGATTCTGGAAGCAAACCTATACATAAACCATATCGGGCAATAAGTGGATTGTAATATATTGCTTAGTTCAGGGATGCTTCTTTAAAAGTCTCCCCAAAGGCTGTAAAAACTGGCTTCCCTAAAATCTGAGAGTGGTCACATAGGACATTTGTACAAAGCAATCACTTTATAAATTTTAGTTAAAACTCTCTGAAAGTGCTTTTGGTCATTTATCGGGTTGGCTGCCCTTATTTGCTCCCCTCCTCCCCATGTCCCATCAATTTCTAGGAAGCGTCCCTTTCCCAGATTTACATGGTTATAATCATCTTTGGGCTCTCAGCAGTAACATGTGAGCTGCACCCACCCCGCCCCCACCACAGCAGCTTGGGTGGGCACCTAACTTGCACTGGGCCAAGGAGCCTCCTCCTGGGGCTTAGGAAGCAGGCCTGAGGGATTCCTGTCTTAGTCTGGATTGTATCTAAAGAGAGGAGATGTAAATCTGGAAGTTGTGGGTTGCCGTAATCCTCCCTGAGGAATAGGGAGTGGAGGAAGTAGATGTGTAGAGAGAGAAGAATGATTCAGAGAAGAGTGCAGAGAAGGGCAGAGGGCAACAGAGAGAAGAGATGAAAGGAGAGACCAGAACACTCTGGAGCCCTCGTCCCAGTTGGCCCTGAGGCCCATCCAGACCTCTGCCCTCGGGTTCCACAAGACCTGACACTTGCAGACATGAGTTCTCCTTCTAACGAATCCCCCTCATTTGGGATTAAGTAGCCTTCAGGATTTCTATCACACATAACCAAGAATTCTAACTAAATCTATAAGTGACAGAAGACTTCTGTTCAAGGCCATGAAACTTCAAAGTTAAACTGAGGCAATCTGTTGAAACTGTTTCAAACTAGCAGAGTAAGGACAAGTCTTGTCATCATTCTAGGTCTTAATTTCAGAGTGGAATTGATTTTCAATATTCCCTTTGCTGAATAATTGACTCCTGAAACTGAAAACACAGAACAACCCCTTTCAGCAAATGTATTTCCTTTTAATATGGGAGAATAACAAAATACAGCTCCTTCTTGAATAGTTATAAAAAACTCAATCTAGTCTTTTTGTCTTGACTAATGCTACTAATATTTTGTAAAAAAAAATTAACACTCAGGATTAGAAAATTGGGTATATATTGGTGTAAAATGTTTTAAAATGTATTTTAGTTCCTATTTATCCTCTGGATCCTGGAGAGGCATCTAATTTTACCAATAAAGGAGTTTCCCAGCAATAGTGATAAATGGACTTTTAGAGATTTATCATTAAAAGCTGTAGTTTTGGCTGAGTTTTCACAAAGCCTCAAATGGATTGTCAAGAATTTAGATTCATGGAGCTAGAAGGGAGGAAAACCACAGTCTAATCTTCTCACAGAAAAAAAAATTAAGACCTAGGATGAAGAGACTTGCCCTGACTTAGCGAACTTGTATCAACGAAAGGGCTAGAACCCCCACGTCCTGCCCCCACTCCAACTGTTTCTCTACATGTCACAGGGACATACAACTGTAAATGGTCCATGGGCTCTCTGCCTTCTTCTTCCGACGCTGAGGGGTATGTAGTTTCAGAAGGGTGGCGCCTGCACAATGATCTGCAGGACTTGTGTGTGTGAATGTCAAAGGCAAGGGCAAGGAGAGAGCAAGAGTGAGAGAATGTTGTCATGGGAACGCTGAGGCAAATCACAAGATGAAAAAGAATTCAAACCCATTCTGCTCTCTCAGCCTGTATTTATTCAAGTAATAAATCAAGACATCTGTGTCAAAACCAATGCAGTGTAAAATAGACTAAAGATAAGCTTTTCAACCCAATCAATATTGTCTTCTAAATACCAACATCTTTTAAAGTACACCACTGCACATTTATCTATATTGCTACATGGGCATCTGTGCAAGCTCTCTCTTTGTTCTAGTTTCTTTTTAAAAATTCTAAATTGCTAACCAAGAAGGATTACTATAAAGACAGAATGATCTAGACTACCACTTTATATGAGCAGAACAGTTTCTAAATTTATGACAGGCTAGAAAAGTCAAAAAGGTCTGGGTAATTAAGCATTTACCCCAGATGAGAAAAATGACCTCTTCCTGGGGGTTAAGTATACCCGAGGGTCAGTACTCAATTCTAGAAGGGAATTTCATCAACTAGAATCTGGCCAGAGAAAGAAATATCAGTCATTAGGGGACAGAAAGCTTGCAATTCTGGTCCTAAAATTCTGTGATGGGATTTGTGTTCTTGCTCAAAGAAGGCATCGCCTCTGTGCTAGTCACGTATAGAACCATCTAGCTCCCCACCGAAATCCCAGATCCCCCCGGGAGACGCAAGCCCACTGTACGTAGCTTCCCTGCAAGGACGTTGTTCAACAAAAGAATTAATCTTAGGGACAAGCTGAGGTAGATGAAATTAAATTGTTTTAATACTTTAATTTCATTTAACAGTTTCTTTCTCTTCCTGGATTCATGGATTCACACTTATCACAGGATGTCAGAACTGGAAAGACCTCAGAGAACAAATGAGATAACGCAGCCTTGTTCAATGAGCTGTCATCGCCACTTGGCTTGTTAGCAGAAGCAGAGCTTCATTTTCGCCTTCAGCGTCACAGCGCCGCTGACTTCTACTCTAAATAAAAACCTTCTCTCAAAAATGTAAGGTACTTTACAGACATGATTCAGACATTGGTTTTATTTTAAGGCAAAACAATCCAAGACACAGAGAGCTAAAACGATTTCCTCTGGTCTGCTGGACAGGGCCTGCCTATGAGAAAACAGACCTACACTGCGCTTCCATTCGCTGCCTCGAGGAGTAACGTGCCATCCTCGTCTCCCTCCCCCCAGGCCTCCGTGGACTCCTTGTCTTCTTGCTCATTCTTACCCTGTCTTCTAAACCCTGAACACTCCTAGAAGCTGGTGATGGAATCTCAAAAAGATGATTGTTTTTGAGGTGAGAGAGGAAGAGAAAAAAGAAGACCAAAGTGAAGAGGCAAATTTCTGGGAAATTTAAAGCTACAGGTGAAAGCTGTGGGGTTTGTAAAAAGGGCATTTGGGGGGAAATTTTAAAAATACATTCCTTATCAATTTTCTAATGTCATTTACATACCAAAAGTCATTGTTATTTCAAAACATAAAATATGTAAGAAACAAAGACGTAGTAAAAGAAAATTGGAATTTCCCAAAATGATTGTAGAGAAAGATTTTTCCCTCTCTCTTGAGTTGTCTGTTTTCTATGTCTCCACATGGGCTTTGTATCTTTAGCCCCAAACTCAAGGCTCACATTGACAGTTCCTGGCCTTCCCAAAGACAGGCAGCAGAACGTGGGGTCCAAGAAATGGTCAGGGCAGCCTCTGGCCCCAGACCATGGCACACTCTCTGACTCACACTGATGTTACAGCCCTAAGCTGGCATTGCCTGGCGCTGGACTCCACATTCTCCAAACCCAGGCCTTTACTGCTTCTAGAAAGAAATGATTGTTCACACAGGGCTGGGTCACTAGACCTGATATTCCTGAGAGTCCTTCTCCCATCACCTCCACCAGAGAAAGTAGGAGTGCAGCGTAGACCTCTAGGTCCCAGGAAATGGCAGACTGCCTTCCAAGGACACTTCACCCTCCTGGAAGACAGTGAGAGAAGGCTGAAAGAACTGGCCTCAGAGTGGACGACTTGAGCTCTGTCCTGAGCTGCTGCATCCTACTGTTGGGTCCCAGCAAGGTGTTGACCATCCTCAAGCATGTGTGTCCTCATCTGTGAAGTGGGACAATATGAATGCATATGCCCACAGAGTTTCGAGGTTTCACTAGGAGGAAATAGTGCCTCGGAAGCCCCTGTAGGTCACAGAGTGCTATTGCTGGTTTACCAGAGCCCTGTCATAGTATAAATGAAGGACCAGCGACTTGATCTGCTGTACTTACTCCTCATGATAGATACTTGGAAGGGTGTAAGTCAACAATTTTCACCCTGGAGCCCATTTGTTTTGAAAATAAGAGAATAAATTTAGCCATTTGGAGCACTATGAAGAAGAGAGTTTACATGTAAGATACAGATTTTTCTGCTTGGAAAGTTGATACAAGGACCTCACTCCTACGACATAAATATAGGAATACATTTTGCTTCCATGTAACCAACATTTCACTTTAACAAATGCAATTGATCACATTTTTCATGAGTATATTAAGTGAAAGTTCCCATTATGGATAATCAAGGGCCTCGCCATTCATAGTTGACCAGAAGACCTTTTTAATCAGCCGTCTGCTGCTTTGCTGTGACTCACACAGCTAAGTTCCAAACAGTAAGAGGACTGGGAAATTCTCATACAGTAATCTATCAGATCCAGAGGACACCTGAATCTTCTCAAGGCTGGGCAGAGGGAAAACCTGTCTCTGCTGATTTTGCTCCTTTCTCTAACACCCAAGACCTGGCAGGGGTCCCTTGGTTAATATTTGCCATAAGGCATTTAAGACTTGCGGTTGTGAGGGCACTAATTTCTCAACTCCCTTCCTCCCCACGGCAGCAGGAATCACAGCATCCGACCAGCAAGCTGAAGGACAAGTTTTGCAGCCCTGCTTCCTCATCAGATCCTCAAGCCCCAGCCTACACTGACGTCTCTAACTCCACGGCTGCCCCGGTCCTCCCTGGCGTTCCGCTGATTCCGCCTCTCCTCTGCTCTCTCTTACGACAGGGCTCCTGAGGGTTCCTTTCACTGGCCCACCACTTCAGAACACAAATCTCCGCAGTGAGGCAGGTGGGGTCATCAGTGTTTCCCAGATGGGAAAACTGAGAGCTCGGGTGGCTTGCTCAAAGTTAGGACTTGAACCTGGGTTTCTAAGTTTTCAGTCAGGAATCTTTCATCCTTGCTCTAGATGGGGTAGATGTCTGGGGGCCCATTAGCTAAAGTGGCTGAATGAGGCTGACAGGGCAGAAATCTACCCAGCTGGACCAACTCGCAAAGCACCTCCCCCTAGAGAAACGGCCACAGCTCTGAGGCTTTGGCCCAGACCCCAAAGATGAGGGCAGGGGGATGGGAAAGACGGAGTTTTCAGGTCACCAAGACCAGCATTAAAGTACACAAACAACTACTGTGTGACCCCACACAGAGACCGGGCTCTGACACACGCACGGGTATGTCATTCCTCCTAAATCCCTGTAGGAAATGAGGGATAAGAGAGCTAGGGTGGAATGTCAACTATTTCTTAAGGAAGCAGTGAGCATCTCTTCTTCCAAGAGTTTCCCTCTGAAGAGAACTTGGGCTCATCCTTTTTCCCTGATTCTTAACCACGGCTCTGCAGGCTCCCTGCGAAGAGGAGAAAGGGAAGGAGGGTGGCATGGGGAAGCACGTGGGAGAGAGCCACAGAATCCAGAGGAAGCAGCCTCACTGCCAAGCCCACGGAAGGCCCCTGTTCCGTGGCTGTGCATTTCACCCATTTCTCCTGTGACTTCCCTGAGAGTCCCTTCCATGTCGGCCGTCCATCTACTCCAACGAGTCCCCCCTCCTCTATCTCATCCCGCCAACCTCAACACACACACTTCCTCACCCTCACCAGCACCGCCTATCTATGTGCAAAGTATAGCAAGATGTCCATTGATTGGGAAAGGCATAAATTTTAATTTTGTCCACCCATTTCGGGAGCAGTACACCTGAGCTGGGTGGAGAGGGCAGGCTGGGCTCAGGCATCAGAAGGATGAGGAAGTTGAGTTAGAGACGCAAAGAATAAGAAGCTAATAACAAAGAGTAGGCATGGCCATGATGGGAGGCAGAGCCCAGGAGGGTGGGAAGAGACGCAGAAGACCACACAGGGTTCTCCTTTCTCCTCCTAATGGGACACGGAGGCCGGAGGCTGATGCCCAGGGCACACATCCACTTGCAGGAGAGGACAGGAGGTGGATGTGGGCCCCAGAAGGCCAAGCATGCATGGGTGTGGCTGAGCTCCAAGGCTGTTTCTTGTTCTGGAAACCTCCACCAAATTCAGTGAAGCCTCCCCAAGGTCTCCAGTGCCCATTCTGGAGAACAGGTTTTGCTTCTGCTGTTTTCTTTTTGGAAGAAAGAGCAAGATTTTTGCCTAGCCATCCCCCAATACCTTCACCTGGAATGGGGCATATGAGCCTCTATTTTTCAGGGTGGTGATGAGGACAGACAGGAAGTAAGGGAACTCTCAGCATCATGGCTGGCACACCAGAGGGCTCAGCAAATGTCTGTGTACCTCCTTGTCCTTCCCTCTGGTCTTTCCCCATAAAATATGCACTTCCTTGCCTGACTTTTCCTTTCCTATCTTTGGCAGAAATCTTGGGAAACAATTATTCATTCTTTCCTTCCAAACAAAATGCTCCTAGTGGCTGGGAAGGTGGCAGAGCACAGAGGAAAGGCAGGCCCAGGCCCCGGGGACTATGGCAGGTGGGTTCCCCTGCTACGGAGGTGTAGCCCATCCACAGAGGAGGGGAGACCCAGTGTGAGGACCTGGGAGCCCTGGGGGGCCCATCTGTCCCCTGTCTCCATCTCTCTTCTTGTGGGAGTAGCTGGGGTCTGGCGGACTCAGTCACACACACTTTCTTACCTTGTAAGGCAGGGCAGCGGGTGGGGCCAGGCAGCTCGTGCTGGTCTGAACGGGTGGACAGTATCTGCAGAGCCTCGCCCTCCTTGCCCTCACTGTGGTATCTGTGCCCTCTTCACAGCTCTTTGGGAGTACCTGGTAGATGGCAGCACCTCTCTTCACTTCTTCACTCCTGTCAGCAGCATGGGTCAGGGTGGCCTGTGGAACTGAGCATCCCAAAGCATCGCAAGACTGCGGGTCCACGCTCCACAGGTCCTGGGGGCCAGTCATGACCGGCCAGTGCTTCCAGCCCGTGGAGGGATTGTTGCTTCCATCGCTCATGACGGCAGCTGGGCGAGGAAGTCTGCATGACAGGGGCTGTAGCCGTCCAAGTGTCCCAGACGCAGGGGCCAGGGAACGCCTGCGACGTGGGGATGTGCCGACTCCACCCCTCCTTACTTCCAGATCCTGGTGTTTTTCCTCTCCCTCTGTCTCCTCCTTAAGAGCAGAGCAACTGAAAGCATCTAGTTTCACTGTCCCACGGCCCTCCTTCTGTAGGAGCGAGGGAGGAACAGCCAAGCCCTGTGTGTGCCTGAGGTCGTGGCCTGCCAAAAAGCCTGTCCTGGGACTTGGGAAAATGTGTCCCTCCTCCAGGCCCCCTGGGGCTGCTGTCCAGGCTGCAGTGGCTGGAGACAGGGCGGGGAGAGCTCGAGGCGGGGCCCCTAGCTGGATGAAGAGGAAGGAAGTTTTCATTTGCTGTTGCTCAGGCCGTTCAGCCATTTCCTGCGATGGGGCAGGGCTGGTCCTTGCTGGGGTCAAGCTTCGATCTCAGTGCCCAGGGATGCAAACGCTAGCAGCTGTGGGCAGACGTGACTTGGCCCCATGGATCCACTGGCAGCCTGAGGAAGCAAATGACACACCTTCAGCGCCCAGGGAGAATCTTCAAGGAGCAGAGGTCAGGGGATGGTCTTGGTTGTGGGACTGGACTCTGCACTCACTCCACAGAATCACAGAAACAGACAGACTGGTGGAGAACATTCCAGGAGCGAGGGGTGGGAGAGGATGGTCAAGACCTGCCTGTCTCAGCCTGGTGTGTCTGATGGAATTCCTTTTTAACTGTCCTCCTCCCCATATTTGAAAGGAAAACACTGAGTTACTCATTTCATTGTTTAACCCTGAAGTCTGTCTTAGCTCCACCTGTTAATTGGTGTTTGCCCTGAGACACTAAGTGATTTCTGTGAAGCCTGCAGTGCACTTCACAGTGGAATCTCAATCCACCTTGAGAACACACTGAGAACATGCTGAGAACACACTGAGTACACGCTGAGAACACGCTGATTACACACAGAGAGTACAGTGATTACACACAAGAACACACTGAGTACACACTGAGTCCACACTGAGTACATGCGGAGAACACTCTGATTACATGCTGAGAACACCCTGAGTACACGCTGAGAGCACACTGAGTACACGCTGAGAACACCCTGAGCACACGCTGAGAACACACTGAGTACACCCTGAGAACACGCTGAGAACACACTGAGTACACACTGAGTACACCCTGAGAGCACACTGATTACATGCTGAGAACACCCTGAGTATACACTGAGAACACGCTGAGTACACGCTGAGTACACCCTGTGTACACGCTGAGTACAGCCTGAGAACACACTGATTACATGCTGAGAATACCCTGCATACACACTGAGTACACCCTGATTACATGCTGAGTACACCCTGAGAACACGCTGAGAACACCCTGAGCACGCCCTGAGAGCAAACTGATTACATGCTGAGAACACCCTGAGTACACGCTGAGAACACACTGAGTACATGCTGAATACACCCTGAGAGCACATTGATTACACGCTGAGAACACCCTGAGTACACGCTGAGAACACACTGAGTACACACTGAGAACATGCTGAGAACACACTGAGTACACACTGAGTACACCCTGAGAGCACACTGATTACACGCTGAGAACACCCTGAGTACACACTGAGTACACCCTGAGAATACGCTGAGTACACGCTGAGTACACCCTGAGAACACCCTGAGTACACGCTGAGTACACTCTGATTACGTGCTGAGTACACCCTGAGAACACGCTGAGAACACCCTGAGTACACCCTGAGAGCAAACTGATTACATGCTGAGAACACCCTGAGTACACGCTGAGAACACACTGAGTACATGCTGAATACACCCTGAGAGCACATTGATTACACGCTGAGAACACCCTGAGTACATGCTGAGTGCACCCTGAGAGCAC